AGATTTCTTCTGATTTTTCATAAATTTTTCTGTGTGTTCTGTCTTTCAACATTGCTTCTAATGAAAATTAAAAGTATTACTCCCTCCGTCCTAATATAGTCGTCCACCTCATAAACTGTGACTCACAATTACGTGAATCACAGTTTAGGAGGTATACAACTATACTATTTCTCTCTAATTTTTCATAAATTATGTCAAATATTTTCTCTGTTTTTTAATAAATTTTTTTTTGTGTTATGTCTTTCAACATAGCTTCTGATGAAAGCTAAAAGTATTAGTACTAGTATTTTTCAAATGACCCATTCAAAGCTGATGCTTGATATAGAAATTTTCTCTTCTATATTATCAAATATATATATATATGTTGGAAAAATGCAACAACACATAAGGAGATGGTCCAGGTGTCACAACTTGCAATTTGTTGTACTTTCGAATATCCTAGCAAGCGACCCTCAATGGCTGCAGTGTCGAACAGGATCAAGGAGGTTTGTGGAGTTGAGGCATAACGATTGATTGTACAAGCAATTTTCAACTACAAAATCCAATAGCCAGCAGAAAAAACACAACATGATTTCGATTTCAATGGATATTTTTTCATTTCCTCTCTGAAGCTTTGCAACTCCCTGGAGATTTGTAACTGATGGTCACTCATTGTTTCAAGTTCATGAAAACAATGTCACATTTTGCGTAAGAGTACTTGTTCTTTCAACGTTGCTTCTAATGAAAGTTAAAAGTATTATTCCTTTTATTCCAATATAATTGTCCATTTCGTAAACTGTGACTCACAATTATGTAAATCACAGTTTACGAGGTGTACAACTATATTATTTCTCTTTAGTTTTTCATAGATTGTGTCAAAAAATTTCTTTGATTTTTAATAAATTTTTTTGTATGTTCTTTCTTTCAACGTTGTTTCGAATGAAAACTAAAAATATTAGTACTAGTATTTTTCTAATGACCCATTCAAAGTTGATGCTTGATATATAAATTTTCTCTTATATATTATCAAATATATATATATATGTTGGAATAATGCAACAACACATATCTTGTGACCAGCATATATATCATGGAAATGTGATGGGGGGTTGCAGAATTGCAATCAAATCACTGAAAACATCCTGGAATACCACTTGAATGCAACATTACAAATAACAAGCGTGGCAGGGGACCCAGCCCTCATGATGACATGCATGCCATTCTCGGAGGACCCATTAGTTGAAAGCAAGCTTTGACCTAAGCTTTAGCCCCTTTAGCTTTCGGTGTACACTTTGTTTCTTCCTCCATCTCCCATGCCCCTTGTTACTTATACTCTCTCTCAATTGGCCCAATCCTGGCCCCCTATTGCTCATTATCTATATCCCATAGCTTAATTAACCATATTTTCAACAATTTTCACCTTCCATGTTTTAAGAATAATAATTCACTCTTCATCCTTTTCTTTTCTCTGCCACAAACAAGAAGAGAAGAAAGCGGTTTGTGCAAATTCATAATTCTTCCAAATCAGAGCCGCTCTCATGCACCCTGCACATGCTTTTGCTCCTACTTTGTTTGACTTAAATTTTGTCATCTCTCTGGATGAGAATGTTACTAGACAAATCAAAAGCCTTTTGTGTTAGAATAATTTGGTTTCTATTTGCCCCTTTGAAACGTTTCTGCATCCAATGGAAAAAATCGAGACATCAGAGCTCTTTACACTCCTTCCCTCAATTTATATATCTATATATATAAATATATAGTATTCATTTTTCACACTTCACCCTCCTATCATTATGAAGCTGTTAAAAAAATGATGATTTATTTGTATTTTTTAGATAATGACAATTTTACCATGTATGGAGTAAAATGCTAAAAAATTAATTTGGGGGGGGGGGGGGGGGGTGAGTGTCAAACATGTGACTTTATAACTGAGGTATCTTAGCAGCTAAACCAGGTAAAAAAATTTCAACAAATTTCACTCTTTCCAACGCATAACAGATATGGCGGGCTACAGCATCCAATGAAGTCTGGTCTACCCAAACCAAACTTTGTGTACATCTTTCCATGGAGTTTGGTCTGCCCTATCTTTGCTTCAAACCATATATAATATCCATGTATCTATCCATATTATTATGTCACCATTTTAATGAATGGCTTTGCCATTTTTGGTCTTAGCTGTATCATATGCAGGGGTGACTGGACCATTAGGCAACTTAGGCTATTGCCTAAGGCCCAACCAATAAGAAGGCCTCAAATTTTTTTATTTCTTCCTATTATATTCTTTCGAAAATTTTTATTTCCTTCCTATTATCACTCAAACCAATATAAAAGCTCCAAAATTGTATTTCCTTATATTATAACTTTCAAAAAATTATTTGCTTATATTATAACCTTAATAAAATGTTATTTCCTTCTTATAATTAATTCTACCCAACAGAAACGCCGCAATTTTTTTTATTTGCTTATATTATAACCTCAAAATTTTTATTTGCATCGTTTATTAGACCCTAATCAATAGAGATTTAATAGAAGGCCAAACGATTTCTATATTTTATTTTAACTCTTTTTTCTCTCTATCTTGGCTCCTAAAACTTTCCATATTCTTATTTTAACTTTTATCCTCTTTGTTTGTTTGTTTGTTTTTTTTTTTTTTTTTTTTGCTTCTTATTTATGACATATTTTCAAGGACGGATTCTAATTTAAACTCTGAACATTTTTAGGATCACAAATGAACTAAGGACGGATCGAATTCAACTTTTGTGAATTTGATTTGCATTTGGTTTCTTGAGGAAAATGAGTTGCATTTAATTTTTCTTGTCACATAATTGATCTAAGAATTTAATTTGTGTTTGGTTTAAAAGGTCACTTATGTGACAAGAAGTTAATTGGATTGACTAAATATATACTTAGATATTAAAAGATTATTTTTAAAATTTTCACCTAACACCTCAAATTATATTGACCCGCCTCTATCATATATACCATCATTGAATGGCATTACATCACCATGGTAAAAGAGTTATCCTATTCTGTTGTTAGTGAGATGTATTTTATCTATTCTTTATTTTCTAAAGATGATAGTACATCAAATAACATAATAGCACTACTGGTTAAATCAGCAAACCATGGCTAGATAAGTAAGCAATAACTATTGGTGCTTTAAATTTAGGATTATCTCAAAATCCAAACTGTCAAATCGGTGCTTGGAGTTGCTTCTTTGATGGCAACTTAACATCATCCCATTCATCCCCAATCTGTCTTAATTCAAGCTACTACAAATACAAAACATCATTTTATCCCATCATATATGAGAGAAATAAAATTAAGTATAAAATTTATTAGCAAATGCTATTACAAATTGGGACACGCACACTCTTGTTTAAACTAAATGCATTCCACTCTTAAAGTGAAATGACGCAAGTGTCCCTAACTCATAAATAAAAAAGGGAAAATTACATATAAATGGAATCAAAGTTCCATATTTACTTAGAGACTGAGTCAAAGTTCCATATTTCTCTAAAATGGATTGCTGAGGTGGCACATGGTTTTTTACTGTTTAGAAAATTGTGGTGCCTAAAATGCCCTTTCCTAACAAAAAAGTAGTACCTTCAGTTCAAAAAAGTAGTACCTTCAGTTCAAAAAAGCAGTACCTTCGCGGGTGTTTAAAAAATATGGTACCCAAAAAGTAGTACCTTCAGTTCAAAAAAGTAGTACCTTCAGTTCAAAAAAGTAGTACCTTCGCGGAAGGGTATTTTAGGCACCACAATTTATAAACAGTAAAAAACCATGTGCCACCTCAGCAATCCATTTTAGAGAAATATGGAACTTTGACTCAGCCTCTAAGTAAATATGGAACTTTGACTCCATTTATATGTAATTTTCCCAATAAAAAACCATGTATCAAGGGTATGTTTGTCATTTACATTAAAGAAAAAGACAAAAAAAGGGAGGAGTGCATTATCACCACCTATTAATTAAAGTAAGATAATACGAGTAATAATACAAAGATAATCAAGGGCACGTGAACTCCAGAGATGGACTCACCAAGGGTAGAACAACTACTGAGTGGTTGGTGACTCAACTCTCACCCGAGGGTCAAACCTTTGGGGGATTTTTCCAAACTTACCTATTACACAATTTGACTTTCCAATTCAGATTATTGAAGATAACATGTTAAAGAAACAAAATAAAAAATGTGATCGATCCCTTTAGGGCCGCGCTAATGCTCTGAGTAACCGGTACTTCAAAAAAAAAAAAAAATTAAAAATAAAAATGAAGTGATCTTAATTAAAAGAATATAAGATATTACGTAGAATACTATCATCATTATCACCAACAGACCACAATAATGTTTGCCACTTAATCCACCCTCACCAACGCATGAAATAATAATAGAAAGGGGGTACTCACATGACTCAACAGGACAAGAGTTTGATGACCTAAGAGCACACTTGATATGATGGAGTTGCTCTAATATTAAACATCAAATTCAAACCTTTTTAAATATTTGTAAAGTGTATATATACTACTAATAAAATGGATTCAAATGGTTGAATTTCAAATATTTGCTACAGAGTCTCATATAGAGTGGGGGTTTTGCCCAAATTGTGTTCATAATCATCAATCAATACCTCAGAAACTGGACAAATTAAATTCGGCAACATGTGGTGGGGTTGGACCATTGGTCTCCTACCACCTCACATGACTAGCAATGTCACTCAATGGACATGTGTGCACGCATGTGTGTGTATAATATATCCATATAATGAATGCAAAAGTCTTTGTGAGTTTCAGAATGAGTTGTAAGTATATAATTTGGTAATTAATGCTAAAGTCCTTGTGAATTGTAAAATGAGTTGTAAGCATATATAATTTGGTACATGAGTTGTAAGCATATATAATTTGGTACAAAGCACATATAAGTGTTTCCCTCAATAGTCGTAACCCTGCCCTACACACAACGCACACACAAACAGAGAGTACGCAACAAGCAACAGCAAAAGGACTGCACTATTCGGACAGAGTAAAAAAGAAGGATATTTCACTAAGAACTCGTAGTATTTGAATGGCTTAATGCTTTATACATTGTTAATTGTTAAGAAAAATAAAAATTGTGAAGAAAACACAAATTAAGATAAACCAAAAGGGTTGTCAACTAAAAGAAAAAAAATCCCAAAAAAAAAAAAAAAAAAAAATCCAAAATCAGTAAAACTGTGGAAAAGACAACAATTGAAAAACCCATGATCATAACATTATATATATATATATATAGATATATATCCAAACAGGACATACCTTCGATTTGTAACCATTATTAGTAATCAGGCATGAGCTGACTAATTTTGCCTTCTTCAACAGCCATCTTCTGCTCTGTAACTCTCAACCACACACACACAGCAGTAAAACTGAGGACCAAGCTCAAGAACCCACTTCCCAATCCGATCCCAACAATGGCTAATATCGATAACCCTTTGTTCTTCAACGGCGGCAAAGGGTATCCGTAGAGATCCTTATTCCCCTCGTAGGAGCTCGCATTGAACCTCGGCAAATTCCCACTCCGATTCCCCAACAAAGCCGGAATCGGACCGGAGAGTCTATTATTGGAGACGTCGAAGACGGAGAGGCGGACGAGGAGGCCCAGCTGCTGGGGGATTTGACCGGTGAGCAAATTGTCGTGGAGATCGATGACGTTGAGGTAGGCGCAGAAGGCGAGCTGTTGGGGAATGTCGCCGGAGAGGCGGTTAGCGGAGAGGTTGAGAAGGGCGAGGTTGACGAGGTACTGGAGCTCCGGCGGGATGGGTCCGGTGAGACCGTTGGAGGAGAGGTCGAGGGACTGGAGATTGGTGCAGTTGGAGAGGTAAGGGGATATGGAGCCTTTTAGAGAGAGATTAGTGAGAGAAAGCTTGTAGATGCGGCCGTTGTTGCAGGTGGCGCCTTGGATGTAGGAGGTGAAGCCGGAGCAAGGGTTCGCAAAGGTGGCTCTGGTCCAGTTCCGGAGATTCTTGTTCGGGTCTTGTAAGGACTCGCTCAGGTGGGTCAAGCAGGCCTCGTCGTCTGGATCTGGGCTCGATGGTGGGAGGCCGGCGCACGTTAGCAAGCACAGCAACAGCAGTCTCCACCCACCCATCTATCTACTTCGAATAGATATAGAGATAGAGACGGGATGATGGTTTTAGAGAGAGACACAGAAGGATTTTGATGAGTTCCTCTTTTCCCTTGCGCTATGACGGCGCACGGTAGCAGGGTGGAGACAGAATTTTTTTTTTTTTCTTTGGAGAGTTGGGGAGAGAGAGATTAGTGAATATGCTTATAACTCTTTAATTTAGTTACTGTTTTGCAACTTTGAAAAGAGTGCTTGGGAAGGGAAAGAAGTGGAATCAGAGAAAATGGGTTTGTGATTCCGGTGCTATATAGTATTTCATTAAAGGGGGAAAGCGCAAGTTAGCAAGGGAAAAGTGGGGGAGGGATGAGTCTGTTCATGGGTGTTGAATTATTTATATTTTGATATTTGGCCATTTGGGAGGACAGAGAGAGGGGACTTGGAGGAGGAGAAGGGGGGTGGAGAGAGAGGAGAGAGAGAGAGAGGAGAGAGAGAGTGGGGGGGCACTAACTTGGGTTTGGTGAAAATGAAAGTAGTACTAGTTGTATATGACACGAGTGAGAGAGAGGGCTTTGGTGTGGGGGCGGTCACCTGTACATATGAGGGAGTCGGAAAGCGACAATACGTAGGGAGGATCGTAACTCGTAAGGGTGGTTTCGGTATTTCACTCGAATTATTTTTTGTTTTTCTCTGAAAGAGAAAGGCATTGTTGTCGATCTGGATTTGATTCATCCAAGAATTTATCATCAACCATTTTCCGTGACTGTCATAATGTAGTTTTTGTTTAATTTATTAAAGTCCAATATTACAGCTTGATCATCACAAGTCAAAACTTGTTTTTGAAGCTTTAATTGAGTTTTGGATGGTAATGTTAAATCCAAATTTAAAAATGAGTCGGGAATAAAATTTATTTCATTTGAAGTTGAATATTCATCTTATTAATTAGATATCAATCTGAATTTTAATTTATATCAATTCTCTTTAGATTTATTCATTTCATGACCCGCAAAACAAGTATGCTAGTAAAATAAAAATATTGTAGATAAATTAGAATTTTATTTCGTACCATTGATTGAAAACGTATATTAATCAAATTAACTCAAGGAAATATAATGCACAAAACTTAGGTCTTTTTGAATGAGAATGTACTCAAATTGTTACAACCTTATGAATGAGGATGCAGTGATGCATTCATCATAACTAGTGAAGTGACTTATTAAAAAATAAATAAAAATTTAAAGGTAATAATTGGATCCTTGTCCACTATATAATTCAGTTTTTATTTATTTATTATTTTTTAAAATTAATTAAAAAAAATGTGTTCATTTATTATGAGTCACTTCAGCAATCATGAAATACAATGTTGTTAGATAAATTATTATATGGTCCGAAATTATTGATTCCGATTAATTACTAATTAATACAAATTTTTATAAAAAATATGAATAAATCTGATACATTTGTCTATGCGTTAGTTAATAATTTAATAAATATAAATAGTCCCAAATCGTATTGTGTAATAATTTCTGGAGGACCTAAGCATTGTCTAATCATAATTATGCCGATTTCTTGTAAAAAGAAATAATTCATCAAATGGTTGAATCTACATTTGTACTTGGCATTGATATGGCAATTAAAATGGCATTATTATTATTGTTTTAATAAGAAAAATGAGATAATTGATCCAAGAGTGAAACATTTATTTATTTTTCATTCATTTAGAATATTTATGGTTTAAATTTTCAATAAATACATACATATATATATATATATATATATATATATATATAAAGGAAGCAATAAACACATATCACTAACTCATCATATATGTCCTATATTTTTGGGATTTGATTTTCGTATTGCACTTTTTATATTTTGTACTGCATTTTGTTTTATTAACAAAACAAATGATACAATTGTCCTAAAAAACAGAGCTAGAAAGGATTGTCAAGGCCAACAATCCTTGACTGCCCATGTGTTATTGCATTAACTAAAATAAGTTTATTGTGTGATGTCTCAACATACATTATACATTATACATTTTTTTAAATAGAAAAAGAAGGTCAAATGGTGTTGATCAGTCATTTGATTTGGTATGTTATTTAACTCATGATTTTCAAGTAAAAATAAAATATAAAAATATTGAATTCAAGATTTATAATATGGTCAAGACTCTAGACATTGTTTTGTTAGTGTGACAGAGAAACTTTTAATCGCAAATAAAATGATACGGTTGGGCATGCGCATGTGTGTGAGAGAGAGAGGAGGGATTGATTTTGTTTTCAATTTAGTTGGGCGCATGTGAGAGAACAATTTATACTCTCCTTCGAAGAGGAAGTGGACAAAGGAGAGAGAGAGAGAACATTGTTGTAGTTGTTGGTGGGGTTTGTCCTAATTAATCTCATTGCTTTTCTCTTTTAAGTGGCATAGTCAACACACAAAAACTCCTTTGTTTTGTTTTGATTGATTGAAAAGTTTTTATTCCTTGGAAAATAGTATCATGTATTAATTCAAACTGTACCTTTTATAAACCATTTGGCTTCTTCAAGAGGAAAAGGATTTTCTTTAGCCATGTTTCGACTCATGGATAGAATCTTTTCTTTTCAAGTCGTGGACAACGTAGTTGAATCTCTTTGTCATTCAATAATGTTACTTCTAGTAAATGTAAGTGAAAATAAAATGGGAATATTAACGTAATGGAATGATCATTCTTATTATATTATTTAATTATAAATATAAAATGTGCAGAAATTTAATGATAATAATCATTATAATGTTTGGTTGGACTAATTTAAAATTTAAAATGGAATAAATTTCAAATTAAGTTCTAAAAAATATCCCTATTAGTAATAAATAAATTAAATTAACAAAATGACATTCTTTTATAATTTTTTAAAAATAAATGGTAGTAGTGGCAATGGTGGATCGTGATGACGATGGTGGTGGAAGTGGAAAGTGGTAGTGGTGTAGGCGGCGGTTGTGGCGGTTGTGGTGAAAGGCGGCGGTTGTGGTGAAAGGTGGCAGTGGTGGAATGCGGTAGCAGTAGTGTGGTGGTACTGGTGTAGGTGGCGGTGGTGGAAGCCAATAAAGATAACTATGGTGGGGTTGGAGGGTGGTGGAGGCGATGGTAGAAGACAATAGCGGTGGTGGTGAAAGGCGGTGGCAGTGGTGGAGGTGGAAGACGATGACGGTGGTGGTGGTGAAAAGCAGTGGTGGTGGAAGACGGTGGTGGCAGTGGCGATGAAAGGTGGTGGCAGTGGAAGGTAGTGGCGGTAGTGAAAGGCGGTGATGACAATGGTGGTGGAAGGTGATGAAAGATGACGGTGATGGTGGTGGTGAAAGGCAGTAGTGGTGGAAGATGGTGACGGTAGTGGTGGTGAAAGGCGGCGGCAATTGCGGCAAAAGAAAGCGGTGTTGGTAGTGAAAGGCGGTGGTTGCGGCGAAGGAAAGCGGTAGGTGGTGTTGACGGTGGAAAGCGGTAGGTAGTGTTAGTGGTGGAAGGTAGTGGTGGTTTGTTGACTTAGAATATAAAGATTTTTTGGAAAGTTGATTTTTTGAAAAATTTTACTTGGGAATGGAATGATCATTTCATAAGTTTAGTTGTGAAATGAATTTTCATTTCAATGGAATGTCCATTTCTACTTTATATTATATATTAAGTAAAAAAATGATTGGAATGGACATTTTATTTCATTTCTACACACCAAACACAACAGAAGAGTTTAGTACTTGAGTCTATTCATCATGGTCACGGTGTGGATTGCATGCCTCTGTATATGTAGCTTAGTAGTAATGTTTGAAATCAAACGATTTGGGATATGAAATTGGAATTAGAAAAGAAATTGGATTGTAATTAAAATTAAATTCTTATTTAACTTTTGAAATACCGATTTATAAAAAAAAAATTCAAATAAAATAGTTTTTATACCAGCTAGGAATAAAAAAACGTGACAGTTACAAAGGAGTTTGGTAGAATGAGAAATATAAAAATAGTTTATAAAAGGATAATTTTGGTAACATACCAAATTCCTTCAAATCCGGCCATTTTTCCTCGAATTTCTCAACGTTACAAAATTTCTTTTGAAATCCCATCAAATTCCATTTCCTTTTTAAATGTCATTATTCCAAACAAGTGAATTATCTGTTGAAATCCAATTCCCATAAAATCCCAAAGTTCCAAACAAAGTTAGGATTTTGGTTCTAGGGCTCGTTTGGCATAACTTTTACTTCCTCTTTTACAGAGAAGAAAAAGAGGAGCAGAAGTTATCACTCTCATTTAACTTATTTATTAACGTTTGGAAAAAGTATTTTAGAATAGTTTTTAATAGTAAAAGAGTTTTTCAATCTGTTTGGCAAAACATTTATGGAAGCTCTTCTACTACTGAAATAATTATTTTGCCCTAAGAGTATTTTTTAAAATTATCGTTTAACTTGTTTTTTCGAAACACTTTCTCTAAAGACATACAAATAAACTACTCAATATAATCAAATTTATCACAACCTGCCATATAATTAATAATACTAATAATAACAATTAAGAGATGATATAGAAAATTTTCATTTTGATTCCACCAAAATATAATAATAAGAATAATAAAATATTGAAGGTTTCTATTTTTTCTTCTAAAAAGAAAATATTTAATCTCATACTTTTTGACTTTCCTAGAATAATATTGTTGTTTCCTTATAATAACAAACTTGATTTTATTATAAGGAAACTTAATTATATTATAAGGAAATGAACGAAAAAATAGAAAGAAAAATATTGTTATGGTCAACGTTTAATGTTCCAATGGGATTGATTGCAATATAGGGAAGATCTATGCCGGTGAATTAATTTGATAAAAAAAAAATGCTATGCCGATGAATTAATATGATAAAAAAAAACAATGTTATGCCGATGAATTAATCTGATAAAAAAAAAATTTTATTTTTGGGTAAATAGTTGGAATCCATTGATGCAACAAAAGAGAAATCAATTTATGGGTGAAAAAAAAAAATAAAAGATTTGTGATGGTATGATGGAGCGTTAAAATATAATGATTATTCTTATGAAAGTCAGCGATTGTTTATCGAGGAGTTTTGAAAATATTTAGAGAAAATAGGAAAAAAAAAAAAAAAAAAAACATGAAGAAATAGGCAGAGAAGAAATACCAAATTATAGATTGAAAGATTGACTGAGTATAGCCATTGGTTCTCTTTAGCTTAGAATTATGCAATTTAATGAGTTATTCAAATTTGAACAATAAAGAAAGAATTGCCCCCAACAATAATCTTCTTAATTTTTTTTCTCTGGTTGAATGCTTGATGGATCGTTCTTGTGAGTACGAAGGGATATGTTGCAGAGAACACAGATGCGAGTTTTTTTGACATTAGGGTTTGGAAATAGAATTAAGGGGGTTTTTTTTTTTTTTTTTTAAAAGGTACGCTTGTCATTTAAAAAGTTTTATTAATGTCTCCAAAACTATTCCCGTGTATTTTAGAAGCTTCTCCAAG